ACTGACACTCAGTTCCTCAGTTCCTTTGTTCTCCTTATAGATTGATGCACGAAGATTCATGCAAGAATAGGCCTTCCTTTCCCTGGCTGCCAGCACCGGTTTCCCATTATTGAAGAATAAGTAATGTACAACTGGTGGGCAAATGACATTAAAAGTAACTACATGAGCCCTAATTGTTTTGGCTCAGTGGATAGAGCGTCGGCCTGGGGACCGAAGGGTCCCAGGTTCGAATCCGGTCAAGGGCATATACCTTGGTTGGGGGCACATCCTCAGTCGGGAGTGTGCAGGAGGCAGCTGAATTGATGTTTCTCTCTCATCAATGTTTCTAACTCTCTATTCCTCTCCCTTTCTCTCTGTCAAAAAAAAAATCAATAAAATATATTTTAAAAAAATAAAAATAAAAGTAACTACATGAGCCCTGGCCAGGCTCAGTTGGTTGGTTGGAGCATAGTCCTATACACCAAAAAGTTTCAGGTTCAATTCCCCAGCCAGGGCACATACCTAGATTGCAGGTTCCATCACTGGTCAGAACATGTAAAGCAGGCAACCAATCGATTTTTCTCTTTCACATCGATGTTTCTCCCTCTCCCCTCGCTTTTTCTCTAAAAATCAATAAAAACATATCCTCAGGTGAGGACTAAAAATAAAAGGGGTTGCATCAGCTCCAGATCTCAATAGAGATCACAATACAGAATAAGACAAGAAAAGTTCATCTGCCTTCTTATTCATTTATGGAAAACTAGAAATTCTTTCCCTCCTGCAACACACCAATTTCCTAAAGTATCAGTGTCGGAACAAGCTAAGAGAACTCTCAGATTAAGCATCTTTTTTTCTGATCTAAAGTATGCAGATAGATACCCCAGAATTCTACTGACTCATGAAATTCTAGTTCCTGAATGACATCTCCACCTCCACAATATATGACTGTGTGATAGGTAAAACAGTATCTTCATTCCCTCTATATTCTTTGGGGAGGTATATGTGTGTGTTGGGGGGTGTGGGGGGGGGAGATATATGGTATTAATCCCACTAGTTATAATGAGATACCATATTCCTTATAACTTGAAAAATATAACTGCCAGATTTGGGGGACCCAACAAAAGGAGGGATACCAGAATGAAGAATTGGATGTTAATTGTGAAAAAGCAGATAATCCAGGTCTTCTCTGCACACATTAGTAAGAAACATTCATCATGTTGTGTAAATGAAAACAGTAGGATATGTCTTGAGAATGCAAGTTTCCATATGATAAGGTCCCATTATGTAAACTGATGACTGGGAAGGTCATAGGAAGAAATGAAAATATTAGCCTTATATTCTGTATAAACTGTAGATGTTAAATACTATTCCTTGTCTCATCAAGAGTTTTCCCAAATGAAAAAAAGTCAGGATCACTTGCTGAATACCCTATATCAAAGCCTCATTCTCAGAATTACACAAGCTGGAACAAAATTCTAGAACTTAGTCTTTAGAAAAAGTTTAGTCATTGGTATAACAAATTAGATACTCAAATGAAATAAAATCTAATTTTAAATGAACAATGACTGGCAAAAAAGTTAAAACAGGGATTAAATATAACACTGTAAGAATTGAAACAGTCAAGTAATTTATGCTCTTTCCAAGAACTGAAAAGTAGCTCAGTGCCTTATCTTGATAACTAATAAACAGCTGCTCATTTCTCACCCAATTCTACTTGGCAAGAAACATGCTCTACTTAGGAGAGCTTGGTTAGGGAAGAGGTGGGATGAATGTAAAATCTTTAAAAGTGGAGATCTTTATACAAGAAAGTAAAACCAGATAATATCTAAATATACTAACCATCAACTAAGCAAATCATAATCTTTTTGCTGGAGGATCTTGACTTGTATTTGGAAAAATAAAAAAAGAAAGAAAGAAAGAAAAGAAAATGCAATAGCATATGCGATGCAAAATAAAACTAGGTATGCCTGTACTATTTAAATATACAAAAGGTCAAAGTAAACTAACCAAATAGTGAAACTTCCCTCTCCCACTCCAAAATATCTAATGTGGAAGACCAAAGTAAAAAGGCCCGGCAATTCTGGTCAAGGGGGACCCTCTGCAAAACCCTAGGATTTCTTACCTACAATTTGAACAGCATCAAGCAAAGGAATCCATGAAGGAAAAATAAGATGAGAAAACCTTTTCAATTACATTGCCACGACTTTCCTTTCAAGGTGAGCCAAAAAATAAAGACTACAGATTAGTCTGAGCTGAGATAAAAACAAAACAAAACAAAAATACTTGCCCTAACCGGTTTGCTCAGTGGATAGAGCATCGGCCTGCAGACTGAAGGGTCCCAGGTTTGATTCCGGTCAAGGGCGTGTACCTTGGTTGCCGGCACATCCCCAGTGGGGGGTGTGCAGGAGGCAGCTGATCGATGTTTCTCACTCACTGATGTTTCTAACTCTCTATCCCTCTCACTTCCTCTCTGTAAAAAATCAATAAAAAACATTTAAAAAAATACTCCCCAAACAAACAGGAGCATTCCTTCTACACTTCCACACCAATCTTTTAACAACAGGCTCCAGTGTTTGCAATTGAAACTTTACATCATCCGTGAAAATCTTTATGACTCAATAAGAGACACAATTTCCTCCAAAAATACAGACAATAAAATTCTCCCCTCTGAATATTTTTTCTATCGTGAGTCTGGAAGATAAAAACTGTAAGTAAAATAACAACATATACATGTACTTCTAAACCTAAAGTACAGAATTCCGTAATCGTGAACCAATTGTTCAAAAAAATCTTTTTAACTAAGAGAATCAGTGAAATTAGAAAGTTGGCTGCACACTTGACAATATTTAAGAAAACACTGTAAATATTCCTTAGGCTTGACGGTGGCATTGCAGTTGTATTTTGTTCTGTTTCTACAGGTTTCTCCCCTCAAGTATTATCTTTCAAATACACCTGAAGAATTTACTCATGAACGGATTCTGAGGTTTGCTCTAAAATATCCAACAAGGGCCCTAGCCGGGTTTGGCTCAAAGAATAGAGCGTGCATTTGTGGACTGAAAGGTCCAAGGGCACATGTCCGGGTTGCGGTCTGGATCCCCTATCGGGGGCGTGCAGGAGGCAGCCATCGATGATTCTCTTATCATTGATGTTTCTCGCTCTCCCTCTCCCTTCCTCCCTGAAATCAAAACAAGGCAGGCCTGGCAGTCTGGCTCAGTGGTTGAGAGTTCACCTATGAACCAGGTCGAAATTTGCTTCCAGGTCAGGGCACATGACAGGGTTGCGGGCTTGATCCCCAGCATGGGGTGTGCAGGAGGCAGCCAACCGATGATTCCCTCATCGATGTTTCTACCTCTCTCTCCCTTCCTCTCTGAAATAAGAATATATATTTTAAAAAATAAAATATCCAACAGGTGGATGAAACAGGACTGACCATGTGATAACAATGGGTGAAGCTGGGTAACTGGTACTCGAAGCTTTTTATACTTACCTATTTTGTGTATACAGTTCAAAGAAAAAAGTATCCTACGCATCAAAACATCCTGTCAAAGACAGGGAAATTTTGTCTCACTAAATCACCCAGAATTCTGCTTTTTTTTTTTTTTTGGTACTTATCCTGTTTGATTAATAATTAAGTCCTATTTTTCAAACCAATTAACTTCCTCCAGTGGACCTGTAAGTGAAAAACAAGCCTCACTCTGGTATCTTTTAATTCCACTCATCAACTAGATGAGTGCTAGGTGAGGAAACGATCTAGAATTCCTACTACTTATAATTAGTGATCTTATTTTAACTTCAACGCCACACGTCCGTTTTGAGTCAGAATGATGAACTACCACGGGTTGTTTCGTATTGGAACTAAGTTTGTGAGTGGTATACAAAGGCGGAAAGTAACAGATGCTGTTCCCTCCCAGGAAGCAAACTCATCCGACGAGAAAAGAATCAACACAATGTGACACAGAAAAGTGACCGAAATCTCGGGGTGCTCCCTCCCTCCCCCCAAAGCCTTTCAAGTGGTGAGAAAGGAGCGACCCTGGTTGGTCGGTTTCCTCTCCGCCTCCTTTCTTGGGGGAGGTGCTAGAGAGCAAAGAAACCATCGAAAGACTGGCCGGAAGAAGGAAAGCGAAAAGCATGGAGTCCGGGCCACCAGCCCTGAAATAATCGAGAACGGTACCCACCAAATTAGATGAACTCAGGGGGAGGTGAGTGCAAAGCGCCCCCAACGCACCTGAGGCTCCCAGGTGGGAACACCGGCTACGGGCAGGGCTGCTTCGAGCTCCCTTCGCCCCCCAGTGCTCGCAGGTACAAAGGCGCACAGAACTCCTCCTGAGCCTCGCCTCGAGCGGCGCCCCCAAAAACGCCGACCACCCTGACCACGCCGGGAGCCCCGAAACCACTGCCCCGCTTCTCAGGCCAGAGGCCCCTCTTTTCCTGCCCGGGCAAGGGGCAGAAGTAGGACTGAGTCTGGCTCGGGGAGCCCGCCAGCCGCCGAGGCCCTCCGCGCCTGCCCGGAACCGGGGTCTCGGGCCCGCGGCGCCCACTCAGGGCCC